GGGGGGTTAAATGTGCAGAAAGAGTAGATTAGAAACAGAGTTATGGATGCTACCTATAGAAGGATCAGCAGCAGTGGCTTCTGTGCCAATAAGCTTAATAGGAAATGCAGTCATCTCCTCTTGTCACTAGCACAGGCATTTTTTAGGAGCTGTTGCAGTTCATTTTACAGCATTTTCATCTTGGAAACTTGTTTTCCAGCTGATACTATGAAACCTGCTAAATCCTGCTGTTTGACCTCCAGCAAACCTCCTTTAAAGATCCTCCTGTCAGAAATGATTCTCATCACTTTCCTTTTCCTCCCGTCTTCATTGCCTTTGGGTTTCTGCTGTCATCCCTTCCAGGCCCTTCACATAGCAGAAAAGGAGCAAAGCGACCAGCTAGGAGAACTCAATTTGGAAAAGGTGATGGTTTCACCACAGTTTACTTCAATTTACTTTGTTATTGCTAAAATATAATTAGCAGTCATGTAGCTCTTCATATCTACATGATTTCTGTTGGCTTTTACTGTATTTGTGTGCTGGGGTCAGGCTCGTCTGGAAGTCCATCGGTTTGGAATTACAGGCTATAAGAAGGCGGAGCAGCGTGTTTTTGAACAGGACAGAGCGGTCATGTTGGGAGCCAGAGTAAGAGCAACATTTTAATCCAACTTTTAAATTTTGCTATAAAGCAGATTTTTTTTATGGCCCAATGTTCATGTATTTAATGTCTCTATCAGCCTCCTAAAAAGGAATATGCGAACTATAAGATACTTCAGCAGCAAATCAAAGAGAAGAAAGAGAAGGAAAAGGAGGAGGCTCAGCTGGTACGACCTGCACTTTCAGGCCAGTCACACTTACAGGAAAATTACTTCTATTTGCTGTTCTTAATGTAGCATAAATTATTTCTTTTTAGGGCCTGAAGAAAAAGAAGAAGAGTAAACAGAGGTAGGTGAATAAAGTCACACCTTTCTTGAATATCATTGCTTATTTACCTTAATTATGAACTTTAATTATTGTTAATGAAATACTTCCCCATCATAGAATTCATCCTAACTCTCCAAAAATTAGTAATTAAATATGAAAATCTACTATTTTCATATAGTATATTTATAGTATAATATAAAATATTTAATTTTTTATCATTTCTGTGGCTCCAACCCGTGTTTGCTTCTACTGCTCTGTCAGAAACAGGAAGACAACTGTACCCTCGGGTCCTGGCGCAGCCCCCTCTGGTCAGGTGGGCCGCTTCAAGAACGGCATGCTGCTCCTCAGCTCCAAGGAGATCCAGAAGATCAAAGGCAACAAGTGAGGAAAATAGAAAATGACCAAAACAGAGAACGATGTCTAAAAGCAAACTGTTTCACAGTCTTTCAGTGTATTTAAATCAAACTGGCTGCTGCCCCCCTGAATGTTCATGATACAGCCCTGAATGAGATTTTCAGTGGCTTCTAAATTTCTTTCTGATTGATAACTTTAAAAAGGGGCAAATTCTCAGTGTATACGTGTTTTAACAAGCTAATGCAGAGTTAAAGGTGTTTGAGTTTTTCCCCTGTACTTTATGGCCTGCGATAAAATAAATATTTAATAGTTTTGCTCTCTGAGAACGACGTGTCAGTTATGGTGATACCGTAAAAGACGTGTAGAACATAAGAGAGAAGCAAACACTAACAGAAAACCAGCTGAGTTCGTCTGCTCTGAAGCAAAGAATAACAGAATCAGTGCTTCTCTGCTGTGTTATAAATCAGTCCTAAAATATGATTAATATTTAATTACTTGCCTTTCAATTTATTATTTATGTTTTGTATTCTGTTTTGATCTTTTTTATCTGAAAGTAATTTTTTTGTTTTTCTCAATTTAATGGCAAATTTGGAGGTTTGGGGCAGGGCAGGTCAACACCCACGTGTCCTTGTATTCATCGTGTTGCTCTGTCGTCAGTTATCTGAACTACAAGCAGGAATAACTGGGGAAGGCAGTTGATGCATATTCAATGTTGAATAAATCGCGGCTGCAATCAGAGCTCTCACTCATATATGAAAACCCTGACTTCAGGATGTGTAGCAGCGCATGTTTGAGCCCTTTAATAAAAACAACTTACAGGATGTTTTCCTAAACTTTGATGCTGCTTTGGATTCTGATCACTGAACCCATGATGACCACAAAGTCTGAATGATGCTTTTACACACTCAAACGACTCAAGACATTAAATACCAGGACACAGGACCGACTGAAGGCACTGGCAATGCTGTCAATTGAAAAGCAACTGAAGCATGACATTTCTGATTTCAATAAAACTGTGATTGAGATTGCACACAAAACTTTTTGTGTTGTTTATCCAATAGCCAAGACTAAATAACCTGCTAAAAAGAAAAATGCCTTATTTATCTTAGTTTTATTCTTCGTTGGTGTTGGATAAGACAGACTTTTCAGTCACTTGTGACATTCATCTATTGCACTATACGCAGTAAACATATTAAAAGAAAACCTGTTGCATCTTGCAGACAGATTCATATTGTAATAATCATTAATTGCAAAATGATTAAAGTTTCTTTTTAATGTAGCTGCCCAAAGATGTCACAATAAATATGGGTGTGGTTAGCAATTCGGCACCAGAGCCAATGTCTGCCCCACTGTTGTTTATACTCAGGAGCCGCTACTGCTAATGATCCTATTAAAGTGGATTTTCAAGATATGAAACAATTTAAAGGGTAAAGAGCTGTGGTTAAACGTCTGGTGATAAAGTACAGATTTATTTTCTTTGTTTTGCAGGTGAGGAATTTGAATCCTACAGAATGGAAAATGCAGACCAGCATGTTATGGAGAGGAAGTGGACACAATAGACATTTCCTGATAATATGTCACTGTCTGGGAGGGATGGTGTTACTGGTGACTATTGTGTCAGAAATTCAGTGGATTGATCTTCGACTGTGCATCATGGACAAGTCTTAAAGCACATAACTGGAGACTGAATACTGTCAAATCATCTTCCATCACAGTTTATTTATTTTGTTTTTATAAATGACAAAAAAGAGACATTTGTGTATCTTGTGTTGTACACTGACAGTTTTAAAAGTATGTAATTGCAATGCATTTCTCATTTACAAACTGAAATGTAGTTGTACAAAACATTTATATTGGCAAGAAGGGACTGGATCATAACAGGGCAGGTGGGCCTAATAATTAAAAAATTACACGCAAGTAAAGTCTTGGCAGAAGTTTTCAAGATGAAACGCACATGCACACGCTGAATGGACCATAAGAAAGCAGAATGATCTTACAGTTTTTCTCCCATATTAACCATCTCTTGCAGTCATTTCCATTTTGTTAAAGGGAAAACATGACAGTTGGAGTTTTGCGACACTATGATAAAACAAGACCTTTGAGTTGGCAGTGTGCAGCTGGGTGAGGTCACAAATTCTCACACAGTTTTCTTGAAGCAGCCTTTTTGTTGTTGTATATACAGTTCAAAAAGAGGAAAACATGAAGCTCATCTGCAGCGTGTCACATGTTTGAAGCTGTAAGCACATCTCCTTTATTCAGAAAATATTTTACAGACGCGGGCCGTTTTCGACTTGCAATCCTTACTGGTCAAACACAGACCATATTAGTAGCCATTCAAGAGGATATTATACAAAAGAAAATACATAATTAAATATTTATAAATAATTTATAGAGTAAATAAATTACATTTTTTCCTCTACTTTTTCAAACATAATCTAATAATACTAGTGTAATTCCCAGCACCATACCATTAAAATTTAATTGGTAAAATATGTCACATTCATGGGTGGGTAAGTGTTGGGTAAAGGGACATTTCATACAGGAACTCTTACTAATACATCTGGACAGAAGTGACTGCAGCATGAATATTTTAATATGCAAGATTTGTTTTTTGTTCGTTTCTGTGAAATAATATTGTTTTAAGTGATTTTTAGGCAAGAAAATATGGAACAAATGTTAACACAGGGTGAATTTGAGCCCCTCAGCAGAAGCTTTAATTGCCTCCAGTCACGATTTCCTGACTATCATTTTGACATCCATACAGACCACAGAGACATAACCCCAAATCATCCAACTTTTCAGAAGGCTGGTTACACGATATTTCACTTTTGTCTAGAAATCTATTCCTGTTACAGCAAATTCAGCCTCAGGGCAGGTTTCTGCATCTGGCGTGGGAGGTGGCAGCAAGGTCAGAGCTGAGCAGCCAGAAGTGATGTAAATGTAGCCCTTAGGTGAAAGCTGGCCGTCTGGGGCACATCAGGTAAAAAAAAAACAAACTATGTAAGCTGCTTTAAATTCTGACATTTGCACTAACGCTGTATTCATGTTACAAAGGAAATATGTTACATTTAAGTGAGGAGAGTACTTGGGTTAAAAATCTTCACTTACAGATGAATGTAAACTTAAATAGATCTTGTCATCATGATTTAGTCAACAGGCTTGGTGTAAGTGCTTTTTTTGCCACTTGGGTGCAGTTACTGCAGTATCTGCTTGAAGTATACATATCTAGCTCCGTTTTTGGTTCAGTTCAAAAGATCTGGTTCATTTACTTATAAAGCCTACACTATTAAACCATCTGTATGCTAACTTTGTTGAGTTCTAGCAGGTAGCTTCAAAAAGAAGAAAAAAACAGGCAGACAAAGTATTGCTTCTTTTCCACTGGCGTCTTAATGTCTTTCTGAAACTCAGTGTGGTTCTACCCATTTCCACCAAAAATAACTGCATTTTTAAAAAGGCTGGTATCAGCACAGTGCCACAAAATTGCCGTTCCCGATGCTAGAATCATTAACACACACATTCAGATTTTCTTCCCACTGAAACGACCCTCCATCTAAAGCTACACAGTGGTCATGCAATGTTAAAGCAAATGTTATTGAATCGATTGAAGTCACATTAAAAAAGGGTTAACAGCAAACACCAAATGGCAAATGATTGGCCAAACTGAGCAAAAGCAATGCTGGCAGGTTTTAAAATGCTCCATGGAGGCCTTGTTTTCTCTATTTATTTTCTTCAGCTGAATTCTGTTTAATTCAATTGAAAGGGTACCTGTGACTAAATTGTTTTCCTTCTCCCATAGCCAGTCTTTTGTCCTTTCACGCGCTCCTTCCCCCCCCCCCTTTCTCGTCACCTCCCAACCGGTCCAACCAGATGGCTGCACCTTTCCTGACCCTGAGTCTTCCTGTTTAAAGGGAGATCTTGCTTCCCAGTATCGCCAAGTGTTTGCTCGTAGGGCATCGTGCGATCATTGGGGTTCTTTCTGTAATAGTGTAAAGTCTTTACCTGGAGGCAGCTGTTGTTGTGAATTGGTGCTATATAAATTCAATTCAATTAAATTGAGTTGATACTGGTGATAAATCCCTTCTGGACACCCTGTACATATTACACATCATAGTATATGGAATTACATTTGACTTGACTTTATGAGTTCACTATTTGTGGCTCCCTTGAGATCATCATTCTCAGAAATATTTTATATAGCCCAGGTGTATGAAATGCCTATAAATAAGATATACTGCAATGCAAATGTAAAGAATTTAACAATCAAAATATCAATACTGATTTAAAAATAAATATAATATCCCATCTCTACCTCCTAAAAACTTAGTAAAACGTCCAAATAAAGAAAAAATAAAGATATTTACTTTATTTTAGAAACCTAGATCTCTACTAGTAACTAAATGTTTTTAAAATAGGCATTCAAAATAGACCTGATCATTTCCTGTAAAAATACCAGTAATTCTTAACCTTACACATTATTTCTGTTCATTTCTGTGGTATATTTTAAAGAATGAGGGTGCAGTAAGTATACAAGTGCTACACTAATTTGTCAATGTAAAATGTTCAACCCTTTTAATGTAAACTTTATGTTTAAATGTCCAAAATATCATGAGATAGTTTGTGATTTACAGTAACATAAATCCTGACACATTTTAAAAAGTCTGTGATGAAAAGCATGAAAACAGATATCGGCAGGTTTTGTCGGGGATGCCTTAATCTTGTTCTCGCCACCGTTCACCAGCAGGGGGCGAGCTGTTATAGCGGTTGGTTTCAGGGTCCCTCATTGCAAAGACAAACGGTACACTATTTACAATACAGCTTCAGATAGTTTGTAAACTTGTTTGAATCCATGCTTAATGTCACATGTTATAATCATAACTCACATATCAGTATTTACAGTTTGAGGATGTCCATTCATGTGTAAACCCACTGTCATGTGGTAATGTCAGTCTACCTCTCAAACTCACATTATAGGGAACAGAAATGGCTCAGATATAAACAAGTCGTAGATTAAATAACCTCAATTAATGAATTCTTCCATTCCATGAACTGATAAAACATACATAAACAGTGTACTTATACCTATGCACTTTATACAGTGTCTCATGTCCTGAGTCACAGTGGTCTGGTTGAAGCTACTGTCCTCTATAGGCTGCCATATCTAGTCCCTGATGATAAATGTAGCAGCTTATGTAGCTTTACCTGATGTGACTTTAAAAGATAACGTCCAGGGCCACAGATAAAAGGTGTCTGAAAGCATCTTGAGATTCTGCAGTGAGACTGAGAGATGAGCACAGAATGAAATGTTCTTGAGACGACCATACTTTTCTCATCGACTGGGGGTGTATTATATTATCTTTAAATTGTAAATCAAAGAAAATGAAGTTTGGCTCGATTCCACTTCGTTTTAGCATTTTCTGACAATGATCTGTCAAAGTCAAAACAGTTCTTTGAGTCTGAGATGCCCCTGCAGGCAAATAGGTTTGTTTCAGTATGCAAATTGCATGGCCACGTGATTTATTAAATACCACAGTAATGTTTCTTACTGGCCAGTGGATAAGTCATACCAAGTGGTGCAATCATTTTCATGTTCTAGCAGAGTCCAAAAGTTCACTGCCAAAGACGTCGAAATGTGGCGATCTGCTACATCTTAGTGGGAGCTTTTTTGATGTCAGAGTTTTAGGTTTTTAACTCATTCACTGCCATTGACGTCTATAGCCGTCAATTGCAGTGAATGAGTCAGTGGGTTTAACTCATTCACTGCCAATCGCTGGCAGTGAATGAGTTAAGACAAATAAGGAAAAGAAAAGGCTGGTGGTCTCTAGGCCTTTGAGACTGTGAATTTCAAAATAATACACCCCTGGCTCGGTAGATCTGTCAGATTACTGAAAAATGAAATGGAATTAAGTTCCAGCCTTCTCAGACTGACCTCAATATGTAAACCGTTCTGACAACACTATCAAACGATCTTTGCGCCGCTTTGCATGAGAAAGAGAGTCGATCATGAGGGAAGCTTTGCCGGCTTTAAGATGGCTGTCAGATTCCTTACCACAGATAAGAAATCACAGAGAAAACAGAGAAGGCAGTGCTGTTGGAGTCAACACTGAGATGAAAGTGTGAAGCGAGAGTTTAGCTTTTAAATATTTTATGAGAGAAAAAACCCATGGTGCCACTACACAAGTCCTACAAATGACTCGTGTTCATCTCGGCTGTAAACACACCTGAGAGAGAAGCAGAGCAACAAAAAGCACTGCTGAATCATTTCTCTCAGGGGTTTTTTTTCCACCTCCTAAAAACTGTGATGCTTGTGGTCTATTTTTTCTTTATTTTTCAACTCACAATGATCTTTCCTGCACAATATAAAAATCTTTAAGGGGCGGAGTTAAGCCCAGATTGTTTAAAATAACATAAACTGTGCAAGCTGGAATATAGATAATATCAGTGTTGTTTGTATCTTTGAGAAAAATAAACTGGGCAGTGGAAAAAAGTATGGCCCTCCAGCCATCTCTGCAGTGACGTCGTCAAGCTGTAATCATTACATTTATAGCCAATAAACTTGTCACTTCTCTAAAAAGTCGTGGAGCTGAAGATTGTCCAGGTTAAGGGTCAACTTGAGAAGGATGGGAGAGGAACAGATCCCATCTGACAGTACTGGACATGACATCATTGGTTTGTATCCAGGGCACGCTCAGAGTAAGGAGGGAGCTCTTACTGTTTGATATTCTTTGGAACTTCCAGGCCTGTCAGTAATGTCACCTGAAATAGAGGAACGGAAAAAAACACTCATTGAAATCAGCACGAATGAGGCAGTGATCTTAGAGATCAGAGTGGGCACATAAAAGCACCACTGCATCTATTTCACGTGAAATTTGTTTTGGAGAAGACACATTTATTTACCTTTGGAACACACAGTAATCTGAGCTCATGGGTTAGGAATCATTCACTAAATGTCTCATAAACTGCATAAATATAACCTATATTTCATCTGAATTTTACAGTAATGTAGTTGCAGCTTGTTTGTTTTGAAGTAAATGTTTGTGTTAAGCCATCGCATCTGTGTACAGAATCTCTCCTCAGGGAGCCATTTTTCCTTGCTATTCTTGAATTTAATTCCTCTTCTTTTTTCATTGAGTTATTTTGCAGTAAACACTTTACCGAGGTCAACAATCAAGGCAGCCCATCAGGGAGCTGGTTATTTTCCATTGCTGTTAAACATGGCACTTTAACACACACAGACCTGCACATTTCTGTTGAGGCTGACGGCGGGCACAAAGACCCCGTCCAGGTTCTCAAAGGCAGTTGGGCCATGCTGTTCCTTATTGATGTAGAAGGTCAGTGTGCGTTTAGTCAGATCCAGCAGGACACCCACAGTCGAGCCCTTAGTGATGCCTCCCTCTGCCCTACACACACCCACACACACAAAGCTAGTCAATTTTGTTATGTATATGTGCCGTAAATGCACAGATTTTATAGTAGGTTAAGTTTCACATGGAAGGTAACACAGCACAAATATGACTGTAGTTGTGTCATGCTGCAAAAAAAGACAAATATACTGTATATGTAAAAGAATGAATACAAAACATAGTCACCGAAGAGTCCTTTAACTCATTCACAGCTTGTTTAAAGACAGCACTCTGAAGTCTGGGGATGCAGCAACAGGTTCTTTAGTATTTCTTGCCAAATGGCAGCAGAGTGAACAGGCTGTTGCTGGGATGGTTAATGTGTTTTTTAATTAATTATTATTATTATTATTATTATTTTGGTTTATGATACTTTAATCTACGTGTGTGTTAAATTAGTTAAAGTTTTAAAAAAATCTGATCACTCTTGTATTCATATTTTGTGTGTTTTATGTGACATTTGTTGGCGTCTTCTACATGGAACCTGAAGCTAACAGTGCATCAAATGGCAAACAGAGACCCCTGTAACTCATAAATCAAAGTTAGAATTGGCTCAGTTGCTGTTGAATGAATTATTTCACATATCAAATGTATTTCAAATTAAACGTCTGCTCTTTTTGTCTAACACGTAAACTCTCTGTTCTCTGTTTTAAGAAGTGACTTAATGAAAACGATCTATGGCAAAAACCTGCGCTCCAAAAAACTATGTTTTAACCACAAAGCTTGTGTTTTTGCTAAGAGCTAAACAAATGTCTCTAAACTTATAGAAATGCAGACACTCACCAGGATTAGGCTGTCAGGGCACTAACAGATAAAGAAATCAATATGAGATTAAGAAGTCAAAAATAAAGCTCCGACACGACACGATGAATGACATGAAAGGTGGGTAGAGAACTGACAAGTCAAGAGAGCAGATATTTTTCATGAATAAATCTTTAATGAGAGTTTGATGGCTTCCTTGTGAAGCAGACAGAGAGACGGTGCAGATGCATGTTTTGATGTTTCCTGCAGCCATCTTATACAGCTCCCCTGTGTGTTTGTTAGTCTGTTTGTTAGTATTGTATGAGCCTTCGGGTTTCTCTGTCATCGTGTGCATCTATGGTTATAGCTTCCAAACCTCTTAGAAGTATGAGACTTAATGCACAAGACAGAATGATGAATGCATAAGGGAAACACTTTACAGAGTCCCTGTCTCCTGTTGTTTTACTCAACGACAAAAGTTGCTCATGAATTACTTAAAATGATGAGTGCTGCTTTCTAGTAAGACAAGATTTAACAAGTTGGATTTGTTAATGTTACAAACTAATTGAATCATATTTTATAGTAAAGGAAACAGCAGTATTGCTACAGTAATAATACATTATAGTACATTAGGAATGATATAATGACAATCTTGGGATTGCCATGGTATGAAAAATTAAATTCAGCAGGTATTTCTCCTTCTCTTCATGAATCACCGTAGTGGGATTATCATTAAAGGATTAAAAGCTTCGCCAGCAAAAATAGAACAAATTAAATCCCAGCATCACTCCACTCAGATTTAATTGTGCCTTCTAATTAATGGTTTATTAAATATTTGAGGGCTTGAAGGATGTTACAGAAAATTCCTAATGAAGGGACGTAAACTACTGATTTCATATTATACTATCCGGTCTGCAGATACACATGTTAAAGGCATTAATGTTATGAACAGCTTCTTCCAAGAAAGAAAGTGCTACAACAATCCTTTAGAGGGGTTGATGAAAGAGCTGAAAACTCCATGAAAGCTTTGCCGCAGGAACGGGGATTTTTACAACCTAGCAGCCTATGAGTTGTTCACACAGCATGAGTAATATATTCAATTTTAACTTTGTAGTTTGACAAAACAAAACAAATTTAAAAATTTCAAGATTTGTCTTTTGTTCTTTGTATTAAATAACTGCAGCGGGGAAAACCAGCGTGATAATGGTGAAAGTCTGGAAAAGCTGTCAATGTCTTTTTTAGCTTTCCTGATGTTCCCTTCAACAATCTGTCCCTGGGCATCGCTGAAATCCTTTCAGCATGACTACAAGTTGTCGACTGCTCCCTGAAGCTCCCTTTCTAACCGGATCTCCTCGAGTGTGTCAAATGGAGCTCTTCTACTTGACTTAAATTTTTGGGGCAAAGAAAGAAAGTCCCAAATCTGCAGAGCATGAATTGTCTTCATAATTGCATGTGCCAATTTTCCTCATCTTTTTGCTGTTCTCTTTATGGATCAACATAGTGGATCATCTGTCTCTATCTCTAGCATCCTCTTCTGTCACACAAACTTACCTGTAGTGTCCTCCTTCACTCCAACCAAAAATCTTCTGTGTGATCTTCTTCTTTTCCTCCTCTGCACATGTCCAAACCATCTCAGCCTTGCCTTTCAAACTGTGTCATCAAAACACTCGACCTGAGCTGGTCCTCTAATCTTGCCAGTTCTCTAATCTTAGATACTTCAACTCTGCTACCTCCTGTCTTTATGTTAGTGCCACCATGTCCAAGCAACACATCCCAGGTAAACCTTTCCTTTCATTCTTGCCTGCACCACATCTCAGCCAAGTGTTCTCTCACAGAAGCCTCGGGCTGTTACCCAATTTGCAAGTCTCCATTGACAGTCTGACCTTAAGGAAAAATTCACAGTGCGCTCTCTTAAGAAAGACCTGATAGGCAAACACTGGGTTGTAGCTGGGGAACAAACCCCCACCAGAAGTGATGTTCCATAAAATGATCTGATCATTTTGACAACAAAAGCCACTGAAGAGGTTTGACGTCCATGATAAAATCTCACAATGCTCATGCACAGAAGTGGAATTCTGATCTACAACGATTCTCGAAATAGCAGCTGAAAACAGACCTAAAGTTCACAAGGACATGAGGATGAAAGGCAAATCTAAAACAAATAAACTCAGGCACTGTATTGGAAGGTAACCAGTATATTATTTTAAAAAATAATCTTAAATTAGTCTTTTGTCAGTTGTCTTTGCATTTGAATGATATGAGCCTCTGGATCCTGCAGGATATCAGTTTGGGATTTTTCTTGAAAACATGCAGATGGAATCTCTTAATTGTTCTCATTTTTTAAATATGATATGTATTTTATGCCAGTATTATACAACATGTCCAATGGTAGGGAACAATGGTTAAAAGTTATCACTAAAAACTGTTGGTGGTGTTGTTGCTCCCCATGCACCTACCTGTTGGTGTGGGAGTTGTTGTGCATGAACCAGGAGCGGTTGTTGTCCACATACATGGCCCAGGCTTTGTCATCTTTCCCCAGCATCATGTCCTTCATGGTGTTGATCCTTGCTATGCCAAACGCAGGATCTGGGTGGTTGTCATAGCGATCAATGCTGACCTCCCAATAGTGAATGCCCTGAGATTCAATAGGGGGTAAAAAAAATAAATCTTCTATAACTTCTATAACCAAAAATCAACAGAAAAAGGCTAATCGCTGTCAAATTTAAATGGAAAATATCTGTATACACTTCACCTTGGAGAAAGCAGCAGTCCCCAGCACCACACGGTCATCATAGCTGTTACAGCTAACTGTCTGGTTGTCATTAGTCAGAACAATGTCCCGATGAGCTGAGGTGGGGTCAAAGGTGAACCAAGCCACTGTAAGAAGGACACAACAGTTAGCCTGCTAATAGTCTTTGGAAATTCTGTAAGTCTGTACTAACATTCACACTAAATTTAGTCACATGTTGTATTCTGCATCTTATTAAAATAATTTTTAAAACTGCTCATCCAAAGTGAACCTTGCTGGGTAGCTATACCTACCCACACCTACAGTAAAGCCAATAATTATATCACTGATTCTAGAAGGGCCATGCTTTCTTTTTCATAGGATTAAAGACCCTATACAGTCCTTTGAAAATAAAACATGATTCAAAGCTCATAGAACCACCTTTAGCAGAAATAACTTGAAGTAATTGTTTTCTTTATAACTTTCAGTGTCTTACGTCATTATGGCCATATTTGCTATATAGCTTTGCTTCATTTCGTTAAGGTTTGATGTCATTTATTAATGCACAGCTCTCTTAAGGTCCCAAAACAGCATTTCTGTCAGGTTGAGGTCTGAACTTTGACTGTGCCATTGTAGCATATTGAGTCTTTTCTATTTCAGCTATTTATTGTAGATTTGCTGGATAATTTTCCTGTTGCATGAACCAATTTGGGTGTTCTTGCAAACATGATCACATTTGACTCTAAAATACTTTAGTATCAGAGGAGTATAGAGGAGTTTAAGGGTGACTCAATGACTGCTAGGAGCCGAGGTCCTGTGGGTGCAAAACAAACCCAAACCATCACCGCTCCACCACCGTGTTTGACTTTCTCCAAACATGGCGCTGTACATTAAAAGGACATTGTTCGAGAAGTCTTGTGGTTTGTTCAGTTCAAAACCTAAGCTGTGCTACAATATTCTCTTTAGACAGTAGTAGGGATGGGTACCGGTATCCGGTGCCATTATGGCAAAAGCAGCGCACATTTCATTGCTTTATTTCGGTGCTTTTTTTTTTCTTCCTGACATGTCATACACTTTGGATTCTAGCCAATCATTTTATCTTTGCAAGGATAGTAGGTGGGCCCAGGTACGTACATTCTTTTAGAGCTACAGATTAAAAATGCCCAAGGCAAAGTGGTCAAAAGTCTGGCTTTACTTCACAGCAAAAGATGCAAACTCAGCAGCCTGCAACAAGTGCTTTAAGGTGATACTGTGATACTGTGCAAAGGAGATAACACCTCGAATCTGACAACCAACCTGGCGATGCATAGCGTTTTTTTAGAAGCCAAGAAATGCACCAAGTTAGCAACATCCCCCAAGAACCCGAAGAGTAGAGTCCTGACCCCTAGCCCTGCCAGTGTAGCAGAAATGATGACGGATGATGATGGCAGCAGCAGCCGTTCTTCTCTGCGTGAGTAGCTTAATGTTCGTGTGTAATTTAAGTTGAGTAGGCTAACCACGTTATTAAATTAATGCATGTAAGGTGAACTAGCAAACACCGTTGTAGTTACATGCGGCTGTCTTCTTGTTTGATGGCAGATACTCCCTTCACCCTGGCCAAAAAGGCTAAAATGACCAAAGCAAAAGTTTGAGCACCGTTTAAATTATCAAAATACTTTGAACAAGCTCAAGGAATACACATAAATACAACTTTCAGCTTAACTCAGCAAGGGATATTTTCATCTCTGGCTGATAAAAACAAGACTATAAATGTAATCACTCTGTCAAATAATCACATTAATATGTATTAAAAGATTCTTTTATAATGAATGTGACCTTAGAAATCTTTGTACGGCGGTTGTGGGCAACAACTAATTGGGTTCATCCACAGAAAACAATGCACTTGTAAAGTTTAGGCCTGAGACGGGAAATGTTTCATCAACTACCAATGCATTATTAAAAAAGTGCTTGCACGTGAGATTTTTACTGTCACACTACACGGATGCCATGTTTTTGTTTGCAGCCATTGCTGTCTTTTCAACAAGAGTCACGTCGCCGCAGTTTTCTTTCTCGGTGTAGCTGCGGTACAATCCTCAGAGAGAGAGAGGAGGAAGAGGAGGAGAAGGGGAGGGAAAAAGAGGCAGAGTAGGCAGGAAGAAGAACGATGATAGAGAAGAATAAAAAGAGGGCGGGTGGGATAAACAGTTATCAGTCAGAAAACAGACTCTAATGCCCATTATTGTTGTGGCTGGTTCAGAGACACTGTTTGTGTGTTTGTGTATTGTAAAAATCTCCACCCGCATTGCTCTGCTGTTACACAGTGGGTGTCTCTATTTTCTTCTTTCACCTCCTCTTTCTCTGAGTCCTTAATCTCATTCTTTTCTTTCTTCTCCAGCAGTATATTCTGTTTTTTCTCCCTTTGCAGTTATGTTTTTTCCTTCCTTTTCTCTTTTTCCTTTGCATCTCTGTACAGTTTTACCTTTATCCTCTTTTTCCATTGCCCCCTTTCTTTTTCTTACTTAACCGCTCCTTTGATCTCCTTTTCTTTCCTTCTGTTTTCTTCTTGTTTGTGACTTTTCTTTACTGTCTACTCAAACCTGGTCTACTTCAGCTTTTTTCCATCCGCTTCCTCTTCATTATTCCTCTTTTCTTCCCCTTTCTTTGTCTACTGTTCCTGTCCAGTGTATTCCCTTCACCCTCTCCAAAATCTTCCACCTACCTTTCTCCTGCCTTCTCCCAAAAATATCTCCTCCTGTAAGAGGCTTTTCTGTTCACAGTTACATAGGTCAGATGAAATTACATCATGAAACCTGTTTTACAAAGAAGCTCGCAGACAAAAAAATCCCTTGGGTAAAAATATATAATGAAATCAATACAGCCAAAAGAGCAGAATCAAAAGTAAGGCAGACAAAGAGTCCGTCTGTCATGCTGGAAGCTAAGCCAGTTCCAGCACACACCACGTACCATCAGAAGTCTTGAGCATGACTGTCTTGCTGTATGGACCCACTCCAATGGAATTATAAGCTTTCACCCTTGCGTTGTAGGAACTGTTGAAATGAAGACCATCGACTGTACACACTGTTTCCTTCCCCACATATACCTCCTGGGGGCACACACAAACACGCACACACAGACACACACAAACTCAGCATCATTTGAAATGCAAGTTGAGGCAGTATATGCTCAAGGATTAGTGAAGAGGTCAAGATCTCTAGCACTTTTAGTGCATGCTTGATGATGACTCATATACTTACACACATAAAGAGTATTATCTGTCCTTTGTCAGATATGAGCATCATATTGAGGAGAGCTACTAAACATCATTTTCTGAGTTTCAGATTAGATTAGTTATTTTCACAGTAGAGTTATTGCAGTGTTTCCCAAAAACAGAAATTTCTTGGGCAGGCTGCCCACGAATCTTTTTCAACCTTCAGAGAAAACAACGAGATTGAGAAACAAGTTCAAGTTGCTGCTGTGATGGTTCTTGGTGTCGTTCAGCTGTCTTTATTCTCTTGTCCTGGAGACACAACTGCTTATTTTTTATTATCTATTTCCACAAAAAATATATGCATTTCTTTTGGGTGCACACATATGATCTGTGCCTCATTACTGCCATGATACAGAGTAATTCTGTGGGAAACACTATTAGTGTAAATCTTTTGTTTAACAAATAGTACTCACCCTGTACTGTCCTCCATTGCCATCATCCAGCTCCAGGATGTAGCCCTCGATGGGGTTGATGGTGGGCATAGCTACCCTCCAGGCCAGGGTGGCGCTGTTATTCCTTGTGCAGCACTTCTCCAGCTGCAGGAGAGGAGCTGGAGGCACTGAGGGTCTAGGCTCCACTGTGTAGAGAGATGGATGGATGCAATTTAAATTTTGCAATCAATGAATGAGAGGAATTGGGACAAAGAAGAGGTACAAGGAGGGAGACATGAAAGTGTGGAAGGATGAAGAGAGGAAGACATACAGGGATGCCGTCATCTGGCGGGTTGCCTTTAAACAGACTGAATGAAGAGAAAAAGGAGCTTTAATGACAATCTGGTGGGAGATTTTAAAAAGAGCCTTAAAGGTGAAAGAGCTCTGGGTTCATTTACAGGGTAACAGCTGGGAATTATTAAGGGCTTAAACTGGACCTAGTGAGGACTCTACATACGCTTAAAGGGTAGTGTAGTGGTAGGGATGCACTGGGTTAGATTGATATGCGCTTTGAAGGCTGACTTGTAGTTTGATAGTAATAAATAAATCAGCAAAGGTGGTAAGAAAGTATGAGACATCGGCTCCCCACCAAAGGCCAGACTGATGAAAGCAAAGCATCATTCCTGCATAAAATCTGCATAAAATCAGAGGAAAAGCATCATATCAGTCTAACTCTTGTACAAAACAGGTGAAAAGCAAATTCCAAAAGGAGAAACAAACAAACATACAAACAATAAAATAAGAAAAAATTAAAAAAATCTTTCTTCACTTTTTCATTTACAGGTACTTATCTGATAAATATATAACAGTACGGAAAACACAGGGGAAGGCAGCAGTCATGGCGGACAGTATATGTTTTGTTGATATTACATATTTGAATTTAGGACTTATTACATGGAGATCAGCCACAACATCAAAAATACAGATTATGTAAAGTAATTAATAACGGCCATCTCTTTACAATGCAATGTTCTGCTGTAGAAATCTGGTTTCATGTCATTTATGTGGATGTTACACTGACGCAGAACATTAACTTATCCTTCAAACAGCCCAGATACTAATGCAAACATGAATCTACAAGATGTACCAGAGATAGCCTGATCCACAGACGCCCCACCCGCAACCTCCAGCAGGCAAATGATCTGCTACCTGATCGCAGAGACCAAAGGACACCTGCAGAAGTCCCAAATGTTGATGGATTGAAGCAGATTCTAATGTTGTGGCTGATCAGTCTATAGCTATCGAGCAAGACTGAATATGTGAAAACGAAATGATTAGAGGATCATGTTTACTGCACATTTCCTCAGTATATACTTACTCCCTATGATTTGTATTGCCACAGTTTAATTCATGCATAATTATATTTTTATATATGTGTCATTAGTAATATGTGAAACAAAATTATCGCAGGAAACAAAGATCTTTGTGCAGAACTGTTCAGCAGATCAGTGTCGTTTACTGTTGAAGAGCTGAAAAACAACATGCAAAGGGAAAACACCAGAGAAACACTGTGGGACAAAAAGACCAGTGAGTTTCCAACCAGAGAGCTATCGGGGCTAAGGAATGAGGCAGGAGTGACAAAATATATGCAAGGAAGGGAAACAGAGATTTACAGTGAAAAATAGAGTCTCTGAAATACCTCCTGGGCTCTCTGTCTCCATCTCAGCCTCACCACTGCCTGCTTCCTGCATTTGTTTCAATTTTGGATTCTCCTGTACATCTGGAAATATGATGTTGATTTAAGTCAGTGTTCTCTAAAGAAGTAAAAAGGATGACCAGAAGTGTAGTGTATCAATCATACACTTATTTGTCACAATGATATTAACTAAAGGTCCAAAAATTATCATTGATAAACACAAAAATCGTTTGTCAAGCCTAAACTTGAAGGTTTTGTTGTCCTTTTTGTGTTGCATTATTTTGTGTAGTATTTTGTAGTTTTAGGTAGTATTTGTGTAGTGATAAGACAAGAGATTGTGTTTTTAGGTAGCACTTTTAGAGCTAGGTAATAATTTGGTAATTGTGGGGTAATAAGTTGGAAACAAGGAGGCAATAATTTTATCATCACTATCATCACTGCCCCAGTAATATCCAAGCAGTTATTTTGTATCAACAGTGATTACTGCTGAGTAACATTACATTACTCAGCAGTAATCACTTACTGAAATCATACTATAATGCATGTATATACAGCGAGTGCAGAATTATTAGGCAAGTTGTATTTTTGAGGAATAATTGTATTATTGAACAACAACCATGTTCTCAATGAACCCAAAAAACTCATTAATATCAAAGCTGAATGTTTTTGGAAGTAGTTTTTAGTTTGTTTT